GATCGGCTATGGACAAAGTCTTGGATTTAGATCAGCTAAGGACAAAGCCTTGGATTGAGATAAGCTATGGACAAAGACTTGGATTTAGATCAGCTAAGGACACAGCCTTGGATTGAGATAACTATGGACAAAGACTTTAATATAGATCAGATATAGACAAAGCCTTGGATTGACATAAACTATGGACAAAGCTGATCTCAATCCAAGGCTTTGTACATAGCTGATCTCAATCCATAGCTGATCTCAATCCAATGCTTTGTCCATAGTTTATGTCAATCCAAGGCTTTGTCCTAAGCTAATCAGCTAAGGACAAAGCCTTGGATTGACATCAGCTAAGGACAAAGCCTTGGATTGAGATAAGCTAAGGACAAAGCCTTGGATTGAGATAAACTATGGACAAAGTCTTGGATTGAGATCAGCTAAGGACAAAGCCTTGGATTGAGATCAGCTTAGGACAAAGCCTTGGATTGAGATAAACTATGGACAAAGCCTTGGATTGAGAAAAGCTATGGACAAGGGTTGGATTGAGATAAACTATGGACAAAGTCTTGGATTGAGATCAGCTAAGGACAAAGCCTTGGATTGAGATAAGCTATGGACAAAGCCTTGGATTGAGAAAAGCTATGGACAAGGTTTGGATTGAGATAAACTATGGACAAAGCCTTGGATTGAGATCAACTAAGGAGAAAGCCTTGGATTTAGAAAAGCTATGGACAAGGTTTGGATTGAGATAAACTATGGACAAAGGCTTGGATTGAGATAAGCTATGGACAAGGCTTGGATTGAGATAAACTATGGACAAAGACTTGGATTGAGATCAGCTAAGGACAAAGCCTTGGAATGAGATCAGCTTAGGACAAAGCCTTGGATTGAGATAAGCTATGGACAAAGCCTTGGATTTAGAAAAGCTATGGACAAAGCTTGGATTGAGATCAGCTATGGAAAAAACCTTGGATTGAGATCAGCTTAGGACAAAGCCTTGGATTGAGATAAACTATGGACAAAGCCTTTGATTGAGATAAGCTATGGACAAAGCCTTGGATTGAGATAAGCTATGGACAAGGCTTGGATTGAGATAAACTATGGACAAAGCCTTGGATTGAGATCAACTATGGACAAAGCCTTGGATTGAGATAAGCTATGGACAAAGCCTTGGATTGAGATCAACTATGGACAAAGCCTTGGATTGAGATCAGCTATGGACAAAGACTTGAATTTAGATAAACTATAGACAAAGCCTTGGATTGAGATAAGCTATGGACAAAGCCTTGGATTGAGATCAACTATGGAGAAAGCCTTGGATTTAGAAAAGCTATGGACAAAGCTTGGATTGAGATCAGCTATGGAAAAAACCTTGGATTGAGATCAGCTTAGGACAAAGCCTTGGATTGAGATAAACTATGGACAAAGCCTTTGATTGAGATAAGCTATGGACAAAGCCTTGGATTGAGATAAGCTATGGACAAGGCTTGGATTGAGATAAACTATGGACAAAGCCTTGGATTGAGATCAACTATGGACAAAGCCTTGGATTGAGATAAGCTATGGACAAAGCCTTGGATTGAGATCAACTATGGACAAAGCCTTGGATTGAGATCAGCTATGGACAAAGACTTGAATTTAGATAAACTATGGACAAAGCCTTGGATTGAGATAAGCTATGGACAAAGCCTTGGATTGAGATCAACTATGGAGAAAGCCTTGGATTTAGAAAAGCTATGGACAAAGCTTGGATTGAGATCAGCTATGGACAAAACCTTGGATTGAGATAAGCTATGGACAAAGCCTTGGATTGAGATCAACTATGGACAAGGCTTGGATTGAGATAAACTATGGACAAAACCTTGTATTGAGATCAACTATGGACAAAACCTTGTATTGGGATCAACTATGGTCAAAGCCTTGGATTGAGATCAACTATGGACAAAGCCTTGGATTGAGATAAGCTATGGACAAAGCCTTGGATTGAGATAAGCTATGGACAAAACCTTGGATTGAGATAAGCTATGGACAAAGCCTTGGATTGAGATCAACTATGGACAAGGCTTGGATTGAGATAAACTATGGACAAAACCTTGTATTGAGATCAACTATGGACAAAACCTTGTATTGGGATCAACTATGGTCAAAGCCTTGGATTGAGATCAACTATGGACAAAGCCTTGGATTGAGATAAGCTATGGCCAAGGCTTGGATTGAGATCAACTATGGACAAGGCTTTGATTGAGATCAACTATGGACAAAACCTTGTATTGTCATCAACTAAGGACAAAACCTCGTTTTGAGATCAACCATGGTCAAAGCCTTGGATTGAGATAAGCTATGGACAAGGCTTGGATTGAGATAAACTATGGACAAAACCTTGTATTGAGATCAACTATGGACAAAGCCTTGGATTGAGATAAGCTATGGACAAAGCCTTGGATTGAGATCAACTATGGACAAGGCTTGGATTGAGATCAACTATGGACAAAACCTTGTATTGTCATCAACTAAGGACAAAACCTCGTTTTGAGATCAACTATGGACAAAGCCTTGGATTGAGATAAGCTATGGACAAGGCTTGGATTGAGATCAACTATGGACAAGGCTTGGATTGAGATAAGCTATGGACAAAGCCTTGGATTGAGATCAGCTATGGACAAAGCCTTGGATTGAGATCAGCTATGGACAAAGTCTTGGATTGAGATCAGCTATGGACAAAGCCTTGGATTGAGATCAGCTATGGACAAAGCCTTGGATTGAGATCAGCTATGGACAAAGACTTGGATTGAGATCAGCTATGGACAAAGCCTTGGATTGAGATCAGCTATGGACAAAGTCTTGGATTGAGATAGCTATGGACAAAGCCTTGGATTGAGATCAACTATGGACAAAGCGTTGGATTGAGATCAACTATGGACAAAGCCTTGGATTGAGATAGCTATGGACAAAGCCTTTTATGCATCAACATGTACATCACCAAACTTACTTTAGGTTCACAAACTTTTACCAGAAGTTGTTTTTTAAACACATCAAAACAATTGGCCTCGATTAAGGTATATAAATATATTTATATGTTTTAAATAACAACACTGGATACCAATACAGAACAGGTATTAATGGAGAAGTGACACTTCACATCACTGTTAATTTAATTAAAAGGCCCAAACTGTGGAGAAAATATTGAAATGCATGTCACACAATAAATTAACGCCACTCAATCTAGTAAGCAAGGAAAGAGTGCTTACAATGTATACAGTAAAACACCCACTCCTTTTACTGTTGGATTTTTGTGAGGTTCTTGTTTTCACAGCTTTTGCAATAAAATATTTCTGTGGAAAAAAAAACCAAGAAATCAATAGCCAAACAATCCACCCTAATCTAAGTGCTTTCTGCCATGGCCACTAGCACTAGAACTGGAAACCATGAAAATCCAGACAAATAACATTTTTTTAGTATATGTCGCCTCTCTAACATTCAAGTCCCCTTTTCTTAAAAAATCATGTACATTTTGTACATCGAGGATCTGTCATTCCTTTCCCTTCATATTAGATTTATGATACAACTTTTGGACTTTTCATGTTTGAGAGCCTCAAGCTCTGGTGAGCAAATATGAAAAATCCAAAACCAGTATCATAAATCTAATATGAAGGGAAACGAATGACAGATTATTTTTATCATTTAATACAAAGTAAACTGTGTAACTGTGATCTGAAACGAATATTTTGCACTTGGCCGCCTCTTAAACGATGAAATTTGTGTTCACTTCACAATGACGTGCCATCACATTGATTGTTCCTGTTCGATTGTGACGCCATTTCTGGAGTGATATTACACATGGTACATTATTTCAGTGATGGCTTTATGACACAGCTGCATAACACAGTATTCATATGCTAAATGTATATATGCCTCTCCTGATTATCGTTTAACGGCTAAGCCTCTCTATGCCTTTATTTTTAACAATGGTGGTAATATGAAGAGCTATTGCATATGTATACTGTACAAGTGAAGTGCAAAAAGTCAGGACAGGTATTTAATCAACAGCAATTCTGGGACCTACTGTAACAGGATATGAAAAGCATGCATTCAAGGGTGGGCCTATAAGGAACTAGGGTCACTTCCTTATTTATCAGCATAAAAATCACCAAGATGGCATTTTTCCAAAAGTGTCATTGTTGTTGTAGTGTCTAGATTCTTGTTTTATCACTAGAGATGATTAGTGTAGAGAACTGGACTTGGTTGGTCATCAGCGACCAGGTATAGCTTACATGTAATTGGTAGAGCAGTCATCCAGAGTTTGGAGGGTCCGCGTCCAACCCTGGTCTGATCTTGTATTTTCCTGTTCGTATTACATTTGGTGCGTGTGACCAACCCTTATTTCAAGTACTGCGTGAATGCTTGACAAAGGATTACCACAACATGGGTTATAAATTAGGATGTCTAAGTTGGCGGTGATGACTTAGAAAAAGAGGGAGGAATGTAGTGGAACTGGACTAGGTCGCCGACGGCGACCAGGTAGCTTGATTGGTATCTGTCTAAAGTTCGGAGGTTCCAAGGTTCAAAACCCGGTCTGGCCATGCATGACTGAATCCTCATTCTAATTTAGGTGAAACATTATTGTTCACATAAGATGTTTTCCAGTTTATAGAAAAAATGTGATTGTTGTGGTCCAAATTAATCGAAAGAAAAACATACATAATCATGTTACATCTAACGATGAGAAATGTCATAATCAGACTCCTGCATTCTCGTTCAACTTCAAACAAAGCTTAATTTTTCCTAAATATGTATCTCTTTACCGTGACCATGCTAAGTTTTATAGGAAGTGGTTAGTGTATATTGGGAATCATTTCACAGAGAAAAAAAGGTTGAACAGGATAGAAAGATAGGCCATAAGAAGGCTGTTTTTGTTATAACTGCAGGCAATGTTGGTTGATTAGTATAAGCATTGGTATTAGTGAGTGTGTTAGGAGACTACAAACAGCTGGGAGATTGTCAACTGTAGTGTTACCTACCACCTTGCATGCACCAGTCTGTAACATACCGCAGTGAAATAAATAAAAGTAAAGCATACAAAACAAAATAAATAAAACATGCATTAAGGATCCCTGTCCAACTACTGCAGTCGTTTTTCCTACGGTAACCCCTCCTTAACTTCCGTTTCGATATCACCTGTAGCACATTCGGGCTAGCACGTATTCGTTGACCAGGTAGCTCAATTGGTCACAGTTATATAGTACATATATAATGTATATAATAACCTGAAATCAAGGGTTTGAATTCTGGTCTAGCCTTCCTTTTTTCCCCCACACTCAGAAAGTCACTCTTGTTGATTATTGTCGGTTTATTTCATCTTTATTATTTTTTTATAAAAGTCCTGCAAGGTATTGGTTTTCTTTTCAGAAATGATTTATCAAAGCTTTGGTCATGCTGGAAACAACAGTTCCCAACACTTTGTTACAGTTATTGGCAGTGGACGGGGATCCTTAAGAAAACAAAAATGTTCATTTAATAAATATAAACATATATGTTCATTTAATAAATATAAACAAAAATGTTCATAAATTAAAAATTAAAACATGTATATTCAAAATAAATAGGAAAACGCATAAAACATACAAATAAACATAAAAACAACAACAGCAAAACATAAATGATGCCTACCGGTAATTCCTGTATCATATATCATTCCAGATAGATAAGACACTGTACACTTTAATATTTCACATGGTCTTTTTTTAGCATTTATTTGTGTTTAGCATCGATCCCAATTACAATTGTAATGCGAACAATTCAGTCTAAATAGTGCACGTGTAAGACATTCAGTGGAATGCAATGTTAGTGGTGTTTTTCTTGGTGTATTTCTACTAAACTCTGCAACAATGTATGTTTATCAGCGTAGGGTAAATTATAAATCGGATGAAAAATAGCAGAAAATTAGGTTAAGTTGTACATTTACTAAAATTTTCAAATAATGTAATCAAAATCCCCACTATCAAAGCCAGTGATTTCTGATTCCTGAACTTGGGTCATTTAGCTTGCACTTCTAACATATTTTGAATTTCTCCTCTATATTGTTACTTGCACAAGGACTCTATATCTAGCAAACCTAAATGTTTGCTCAGATTCATAAAAAAAATTCTGTAAGTATTTCTAAAAGTCATGATATTTTTTTTATCACAGAACGATGGATAACCTTGGCTAATTCATTCCGAGTTTGGTTACATTCTGTAGGTGACCAATGATAGTCAAGTACATATAATAGTGACCAATGATAGTCAAGTACATAAAATAGTGACCAATGATAGTCAAGTACATATAATAGTGACCAATGATAGTCAAGTACATATAATAGAGACCAATGATAGTCAAGTACATATTATAGGGACCAATGATAGTCAAGTACATATTATAGGGACCAATGATAGTCAAGTACATATCATAGTGACCAATGATAGTCAAGTACATATCATAGTGACCAATGATAGTCAAGTACATATCATAGTGACCAATGATAGTCAAGTACATATCATAGTGACCAATGATAGTCAAGTACATATCATAGTGACCAATGATAGTCAAGTACATATCATAGTGACCAATGATAGTCAAGTACATATCATAGTGACCAATGATAGTCAAGTACATATCATAGTGACCAATGATAGTCAAGTACATATCATAGTGACCAATGATAGTCAAGTACATATCATAGTGACCAATGATAGTCAAGTACATATCATAGTGACCAATGATAGTCAAGTACATATCATAGTGACCAATGATAGTCAAGTACATATCATAGTGACCAATGATAGTCAAGTACATATTATAGTGACCAATGATAGTCAAGTACATATTATAGTGACCAATGATAGTCAAGTACATATTATAGTGACCAATGATAGTCAAGTACATATTATAGTGACCAATGATAGTCAAGTACATATTATAGTGACCAATGATGGCTGTGTACTGATATAGCGTGTTGGCATATCTATAACAAGTATATATAGAGTATCGTTTAACGGTGACAATGGCCAAGGTGTTACTGTAATTAAATCACATCATTGTTTGAACTCGTTGAAACCCAGTCAATAATCCTCCGTCAATTTGAATGTTACCTGCTCTGTTACTGAAAGATGTTCAAATTGAATTATGTCAAGAAATGCTTTTTGGTGCAGTTGTTTTTGCCAACATCATTTTAGCATAAAAAAGTAAAGCTTTATGATGTCAAAATCTTCCTGTTTTTTTTCCTATTTCTGATATAACTATATAACTAGTGGAAGATCTATAGAGGGCCAGGAAACTATCCCTGATCAGGTAGCTCAGTTTGCTCGAGTACTGGCTCAGAGGTGTGGGGCTCCAATCCTTGTCTAGCCCCATGCTCGAGTACTGTCTCTACTGGGACCAGAGGTGTAGGGCTCCAATCCTTGTCTAGCCCCCTGCTCGAGTACTGTCTCTATTGGGACCCGAGGTGTCGGGCTCCAATCCTTGTCTAGCCCCATGCGCGAGTACTGTCTCTATTGGGACCAGGGGTGTAGGGCTCCAATCCTTGTCTAGCCCCATGCTAGAGTACTGTCTCTATTGGGACCAGAGGTATAGGGCTCCAATCCTTGTCTAGCCCCAGGCTCGAGTACTGTCTCTATTGGGACCCGAGGTGTCGGGCTCCAATCCTTGTCTAGCCCCAGGCTCGAGTACTGTCTCTATTGGGACCAGAGGAGTAGGGCTCCAATCCTTGTCTAGCCCCCTGCTCGAGTACTGTCTCTATTGGGACCCGAGGTGTCGGGCTCCAATCCTTGTCTAGCCCCATGCTTGAGTACTGTCTCTATTGGGCCCAGAGGAGTAGGGCTCCAATCCTTGTCTAGCCCCAGGCTCGAGTACTGTCTCTATTGGGACCCGAGGTGTCGGGCTCCAATCCTTGTCTAGCCCCAGGCTCGAGTACTGTCTCTATTGGGACCAGAGGGGTAGGGCTCCAATCCTTGTCTAGCCCCCTGCTCGAGTACTGTCTCTATTGGGACCCGAGGTGTCGGGCTCCAATCCTTGTCTAGCCCCAGGCTCGAGTACTGTCTCTATTGGGACCAGAGGGGTAGGGCTCCAATCCTTGTCTAGCCCCCTGCTCGAGTACTGTCTCTATTGGGACCCGAGGTGTCGGGCTCCAATCCTTGTCTAGCCCCATGCTTGAGTACTGTCTCTATTGGGCCCAGAGGAGTAGGGCTCCAATCCTTGTCTAGCCCCATGCTCGAGTACTGTCTCTTTTGTAGGGCTCCAATCCTTATCTAGCCCCATGCTATTTTTACTAGAACGATCTTGTCGATTTTTTTCTTTGTTTATTTCATCTTTATTATTTTTTCACGAAAGATCCACAAGGTACAATGTACTGTATGGGTTTTCACAAAGACTGTAATATGCCTAGAAGTTTATCAGCAGAAGTATTCTAAACACTTTCAGAGCATGGTCAGAGCCCATCACTGCCAATTGGCAGATTGGTCGAGTGGTTAAAACTTAACAGTCCGGCCTTCTATGCAGGCTGCCTGGGTTTGATCCCCAAAGTCGTCATACGTATGGAATATTCAGAGAAAGTGTAATTACCTGCTCTCTCTCTCTCTCTATATATATAGCTACAGGTCATTTATCATCACTCCTGGCCTGGTGGTTTTCGATAATTATATAAGAAACCACAGATTTTAACACAGTTTACCCTGTTACCTTGAATGTGGCCAAGGCCAATTTTATGAACACAGTTGGTAGATAACTCTTGGCCTTATAGTATGAGAAGTTGTCTAAAATTTTAATCCATTTGCATGTAAAGGTTATTTCATGGTTTTCAAGTAACAAGGGACTTATTACACCCGAGCTTCGCTCGGGTGTAATAAGTCCCGAGTGACGAGAGATCATGCAATAACTGGCTTTCTGCATGCTTCCCAACCCGAAAAAACAGAAAAATTGAGTAAAAAATGTTCACCTGGACAATCTTTTCACCTACCCTACACTGCAGATAATTTACATGTACCTGTGTGAGTGAGTACTTATCAGAACCAAGTAAGTTTGTCTTTATTCTCAATAGCCTAGTCTGAGTGTATCCTTCATAATGGATACAAGTGTTTTTGGTTTACTATCCAGCTCCAGTGTCAGGGAAGGTATAAGGAGTGTCTGTTCAACAATTAGAACAAAATACAGGAAACAATGTTGAATATCTGACTACATTTTCAGTTTAATTTTGAAGATGTGGCAGAATTACAGGATATTGAAACCATTTTCATACATACAATGTAAGGGTTTATCAATCCCTAAGAAATTCCAGTTCTTTCAATGAATGGTATATTTGAATGTGCAATTTTGTATAAAGAAACAGCTCCTAAAGATTATAAACTTTTCCAGGAAATGCTTATCCTCTCACATGATAAGGAAATCAATAATGCTGCCAACTCAGTAATTGTTTTTGTTTGTTTTTCAATCATGAAATTACCATTTTTAACTTCTGCTTTTTTTTAAATTTTAAATGTGTCAACTAAGTTTATCCTTTCCACTGTATTGACTTTATCGTTACTTACTTATTGATTATCTCCCCTTTTTACAGCATTTGTGACCACTGCCCACAGTCCACTGGGCACACCCCCTTTCATGGTCATGTAATCATGAAAGGGGATTATGTGTGCAGTTGACTGTGGTAGCAAGTGAATTATTGCCCACAGTTTTCCATTGTGAGAGATGGGAAGTATGCAGTAAGACCTGTTATATGTTGAAAGTACATCAAGGCCATTTAATTGCCCCATTACCTAACCGTCTTCAGTATGGTATGGACCAGATGTAATAACTGTTATAGTCCTACTCAATGTGAATTTTACTTTTCTTTTACGTATATTTGCCCTGATCAAACCCAAAGATTACTGGACCAAATTTATCTTTACCACACATTTTAGTCTGGTACAAGTTTAAAAAAAAATCAATATCTATATTACATTTACAGCAAATTCTTCATAATCTATATTTTTGTATCAATTATCACCAAGATAGGGAAAATGCATAATTAGACACAGTGAATTGTAATTTTATTCAAATGTAAGAAACTGATGCAGAATATCATAAAAATTTGCCCTAAATCAGAGTTATCATCTTCACTCTGGTCTACTGGTAGTCCTTGTAGTATATATAGTATCATATCCTGTCCTTTGGCACCAAATATACCATCCAGCTAGGACCCAATGTTACTGTCTGGGCAGTGAGTTTTATGTAAGTCATGGCTTGCCATGGACTCATGTTTATTCCATGAACCATATATCTAGCTACTATATGTCTTAGTAAATTTTGTAAATAATGCTATTAAAGGACTTGCCTAGAAAATTCATACAAATATCGCTGTCATGGCTTGGCTCACAAAACCCTAGAACAATTAACCTACGTAGTGGACCCTTCTCCTATAATTTGTTTTTGATTGTCTTTTTAAAGGCTTTCCTGGTATATTGCTCACACAAACACACACACAAACACATGCATTTATATACCTGGTACCTTGCATTATAATGCAGCACTTTATTACCCTCAATTATCAATTTATGTATACTCTGTCTGAACTATCTGCTGGCAACAATTTTGACCTTATATCAGTGACTGAAATCAGAGGCTAGTAAGCTTATAAGCCTTTTAGTTTTACTACATGTACTTGAGATTCGTCCCCGATACACGTGTGCCCTGTCAGGGAATTGCATTGTAGCACATTATACACAGAGTGTTAATACACAAACAAAACAAAATTCTATAATTTATTCTCTAACCAATTTTAAGTACAGTGGTTTTTAACATTATCAGGTTATGTAAAACATATCTACCGGTAAATGCAAAATAAAATATACCCATCATGGCATGGCCATGCCATCTTCCTTCATGTTTCTATGTTACAGAATTTTATAATTTACATGCATATCTTGATCAGAATTAAGGTGATATGAACTATCTCATAATTAAACTGTGCTATATAATTATATATATATATACGTGTATATATGGTATAAACACAACCAAATTTACTTGATTAATATAATTAGCCAACTGAATATTTGTATAAACAGGTTGGGAACTTACTTAATTTGCAGAGAACAATTAAATATTACAAGTACAGTCGGCAGGAAGATTTTGAAAAATGTCGGCTAAGGGGTACACCCTAATGCTGAAGCGTAACATTGGCATCCAGGATCCAGGACTAGGTTTGTTGTGTCTTGATCTAGAACTACAATTATTATGGATGATGTACATGTGCAACTGCGGTATGGGCATTTCTGCATATTTAAGAAAATTGTCACATAAAAATTATACTGGGTGTGTCATGTCATAACATTGATGTAATTACACTAAATAGACTAATTATTGTTATTAAATCAAAAGAGAAACGAAACATTTAAGGATAGTCATTCGTAGCATGTTGTATATATATATAAACAACCAACAAATATCACTTTGAAATGTTGAATTTTATATTATAAAGTGTGCACGTGTTTTGAGTAATGTTTTGTTTCATATGTTACTGCAAATTTAATATATTGACACTACTCTGAAATACAGCATGGCCGAATTAGTGACCATGCAGCATGAAAATGACCAAGGAGTTTGTCCAGTCATGCTATCCAGGATTTGTTAAAAACGTATATGTATTAACCACTGAAATATTGTACGTGTTTATGTATTGAATTATCACTTAATAATACACGATAGGAAGAAACTTTGAGGATCTGTACTTTTATTTTATATATCATGATGATATCTTACATGTACTGCATACATAAAATATTGATTTTCAATCTTTCAAAATTTCCCACCTGTATTATGCCATTTTGTAGATTAAGCAAATTACATGGGAGTTATTTGACATAACAAACCATCCTGATCTGGACTCAAAATGAAGAATTCTAAACGGATCTGTTTTGTTGATTATAGGTAGGTATACTATCCTATAATTTGCATAATCTACAAAATGGCATCACTCAGGTGGGAGAGTTTGAACGTTGAAAACCAAGGACTCAACTAAGTGTAGCAGCTGTTGGTGATAATAAGGTCAATTTGGATACAGTCAAGAAATAACCCATTTATGGATCGATAGGTGTTGTACGTGTCATAGCAGAATTTTGTTGTCAGCACCTCAAAACTTAGAACTACCAATTACAACTTCTAATTAAAAGGTTTCGGATAATTCATATGGTAGGGCACATGTGGCCCCAACATCAGACATTTATCTGTCAGATTGTCTCAAGTCTGGTGTTGGACTCATAGGAAACCCGGACTAGAGGTTTCATTTGTGTGTAAAATGTTTGATATCTGTTGTGTTATATACTTGTAAAAGATGTGCATTGATTAGGTTGCCTTACAAGCATCAGCTGTATAGGGAATTTCCCTTAAGCTCAGCAGTAGATCATCTAGCTGGAGAGCAAAGGGTCTCGGGTTCTAGCCCCAGTGACGGCACTATCTTTATCACTATTCCTCTTCCTACTACAAACTGGTGCTGTTGACCATCCCCGTTCAAGGTAGGAAAACCCTTTGCAGGGAGTCTCAAAGAACCTGGGGTGATGTTTGAAAAAAGAGGCAAATAGTTTCAAAGATGTCCATGGATTAGGTTGCCTTACAAGCGTCAGCAGTAGAGCAGCGGGCTGGAGAGACACAGGTTGTGGATTTGAGCCCCTGTGAGTGAGCGATGGCACTATCTTTATCATGATTCCTTGTCATACTACATACTTTCTGATGGATTATGATTCCAGATATTACTATTGTAACAGGAGAGGAAAAATGAACGGCCAGACCGGGGTTCGAACCCGGGACCCTCTGAACTCTAGACGGATGCTCTGCCAATTGAGCTATCTGGTCGCCGACGAATGACCTAGTCCAGTTCCGCTACATTCCTCCCTCCTTTAACAAAGTCTTCGACCCCGAAACACACGAGACCCTATACCACCTTCTGTGGGTATATTTTGTAGGGCGCCAAATGTAACAGGAGAGGAAAAATGCCAGCCAGACCGGGGTTCGAACCCGGGACCCTCCGAACTCTAGACGAATGCTCTACCAATTGAGCTATCTGGTCGCCGACGATTGACCCAGTCCAGTTCCGCTACACTATTAAATAGGGCACTTTCCTCAAAGCTATGACTTCTGATCAGAACTGCAGTATTCAGAAAGTTTAACACTTGATTGCAGGCCTGACTAATGCATTGTCTATTCCTGAAGACAACATCACATTTTATATATATATATTATATATGGTATGGGTCAAAGAAGTAATATAGACGGTATATTTTATATATAGATATATACGGAGTTAAGATATCTGAGCAGTTGTTCGTTTCCATACAATTTCACTTTTTTTTTTAATTATTTAGAATCATTTTGGTCCTTCCTAAGTGAGATATGTACAGGACATCCTGGTACATTTTTACACGAGTCTCGTCAATGATGGTGAAAAAGCATCTGACAAGATTTCAATGGACCATGATCGTGACCGAACTTCAAGATGTAAACATCGAATGCACCGCATCAATCTTAGCTAGGCCTACATTCGAAGTCACATATATCAAGCAAAAAAAATCAGTTGGTATGTTAGGATACCACGCGGATTTAATTTATAGAATATGAGTATCGAAACTAATAGAAAACACAATATTTCCCTGTCTACTATATTCAGGTAGGGAATACACAACAAACGTTTCGTTTTGTCGGCGAAAACCGACCAGGTGTGTATACCATATTGAATACTTACGGCGGTCTTAATCTCTTTGTTTGTAGAAATACGCCGATGGAACACTTTCGCAGGTTCTGTTTCAATTTCACTCTCTGAAGAATCATCTTGAATGCCGGTATCTTTAAATTTCACGTTCGAGTGTATATCTGTTTTCCATCCAGTCGCCATGTTGGATCTCCCATCACCGCCACCAGAGGGCGTGGTTGTCGAGCGTACCTTGGGGAACGTTAGCTTGCTGCTGAGCTGGATTCGTCGTGTCGTCTGCTAGCTAAGCGTTGTACATCGTCTATTTTATCAAATATTGCAGGATAAAAATAGATTAATCAGATCAAAATCGATAACTCCCCTGATTGATTCTGTAGCGTGCCATGAAGGATACAACTCTACTTGGCTTAACAACACAAATATTATTGCATAAATCAGAGTGGAATCATTTAGGTCCGACTTCGATGCGAGAGTCTAGATTCCAGTGTCAATCTTCACGTTTCTGTTGATAAATTTCTGACATTATTAATTAATTAGTCCGCTCTTCCATGTACAAAATATAGATCTAACATTGACTTGGATTACAAAAAAATGGCGGTAGGTCTACTCTAGCATATATAGATTAATCCGTGTAGCAGAATGAGATAATCAGCGGTGATGCTGACATGGTCGGCGATTATGATTTCATGTAGAATCTACATCAAACTTGTAACTTAAGAGTAATAAAATCTAATGTGTATTCAACCAAAAACGTTTCAGATTCAGCAGCAGTTGAACTGTGATTTCGATATTCACTTATTCGTTGCGTACGATGATGTTATTTCCTGTGACAGAATTTCCATGGAAGGTCGTCTGGATGGGGGAAGGGTAGAACAGTGACGCTAGCTAGGGAGAGTGGACGAGTGAAGTGACATCCAGGAACATGAAGCTGAAGGTTTGGCCAGCAACATAAATAGTGTGCCATCTTCACACCACATACCGTACCAACAGCACCAGTACTAGTGTCAACACCACAGTGTACATGCAGTTTTAAAAGCAATAGTGTTTGCAGCATGGACAAAGCTCCAACAGAAAATGGTCACAGACAGCTGTCAGACAAGTCCTTGAGTTCTTTTAGCGCCAATTTCTTGTTGCCACCACGACAAGGCCGATGCACTGAGATAGAAAGATGGTGATATGTACTGCAAAATTAAGTAATAACATAATCATGGATATTTGAGACAAAGAAGAAGCACCAGAAGCACCGCAGAAAATTGGTCTACAGCAGATTCCTGATTATCATGGATATCTTGAAAAGAATTTGCAGATTAAAAAATCTCAGAGAGACGGAAATGCAAGGCTCTAAAACTGTCGCAGTTCTTGAGTGAGATACCGACGGTATCCCTTCATGATGTTCACTGATTAGTACACTGCATAGATGGGAGAAGTCGTGGCGGCTAGAAAACACGTTTGAGCAACATGGCAACAATCTCAGAGAAACGAGTTTATCCTGAAGTTTGGTACATTCATGAAACGGACGCTTCATGTCAAACGGAAATGATTCAAGAACATTTGACTGTTTGAAAGTCATTTTTCTTTTGGTTGAGGGCAACTTCTTCCTTAGCAATTAGCAAGAAGAATGCCAGAGAAGTGATATGCGAACACATCATATTATAAAGGGAGAGTCGTGGGACGCTCAAAATATCTGTATGCTTGAAAGCAATCGCATTCAAGTAATTCGCGAGCATAAAAAGAACCAGAAAACTCACGACTGTATAGTTAACAAGGAATTATCCATCAACTCCAGATACATCCAACAGACGAGATAATTGCATCGACAACAAGGATACCAAATCAGGACTTAAGAAATCTTGCATTGTAGTCTGTCGCAATATAAACATTTGAAAGTCCAGTCAGTAAGTCTTTTGATCAAGATATGACTATATCATAACAACCTGAACTCTTCCCCTTCATTTGGAAGCGAACGTTGGATGTAACTAAGGAGGACAGTGAAGCACATTTGTCTTTCCACATGGCTTTGGCAATGATGTGTACTATCTTCTGGACCATTAAGATCACGAACCAATGTCTCTTAAAGGAGACGGGCTCCTCCTGTAATGTGCAGGAGATTAAACAAATCTGATGTATTAGGCATGTACTGAGAATTCTTGATAGCAGCATCACGAAGAAAGTCCTTCGGAAGACAAAGAAAAACGGAAGAGAGCTAGGCCAAGTACCGCTTGGTTCAGAACTAGCAAGGGGAACTGACTTGATGCGCAGCAAAAAGGCAAGACAAAGATCATCCCACATTAAGTAAGCGATGTGTTGCGGCCTTATTCTTCTTTTGGAGCAAAGAGGATAAGTAATAAGCGTCAAGAATAAATAGAATCGCATTTAATGTATAATATATAGGCCTTTCGGTAAATTTATTATAAACACTCTACTTTGTCAATTGATTCTACCCTGTTTAGTAAAAGCAAAAGCTGTCCTAGTGTCGTGAGTTGTTACCTAAGAAACTTTAACACATAATGTACTGTGTATCCAGTCAATATACCCGAGTCATATTTCTTTTGCGTATTAACCCATGTAATATGACCTATCAGCCCTGTGATTGGTTGTAAGTTTTAATTGTATCAATTGTGACGTCACGCCAAGACAAGTACATGACGTCACAGACTTACGCACTGGAGTCAAAATGGCGGCTTTTTACATTTCAAGGTTGCATGCAAATTGTCTTTTTACACGAATAAATGCCACAAATCTTGATTATGTGATAAAAAGGATCTTATACTCGTTTTCATTTTATATGAAATTTATGAAACTCATCACGAATTCTTCATTTTAGGAATAAAATTTAAGGAAAAATGGAATTAAAATCGTAGCTAGGACAGCCAATGTATTCTTATTATCATTATCAAATCACAGTCAATTAAAAATGCATTTAATCTTCAATACATTTGAAATTTTAGCCATATGTATATAGATTACAAACCCTTTCACATAGGGGAATTTAATGTTTAGGCCACTGATCAGTTTCTAAATTCAGTTTTAAATTTCCCCATCTACCTTTTTTCTAAATATTTTTTTCATTCATTCATTTTTTTGTTCCTCTTTAGAGAAATACAGAAAATGCAAATAAAAAATGCATGTTATACACAGTCTGTTATTTTAGACAAGATACAGCTCGTGCTACGCGTTTTACTAGAGTCTAATATTACATCCTGTCGTCTGCTGAGACGTAATAATGTGACGCAGCTCTCATGAATGAAGCTGCCAGCATACGAAACACGTTGTTGTCCTCTATAATAATAACCTTTATTTAACGTCGTGTACAATTGTCAACAACAAACATAAGCTCTGTAGAGCTTTTATTACAACGCCGCTAAGGGAACAAATGGTGTTTTTTGTGGTGGAGGAAAACCCACAGGGGGAAAACCACCGTGCCATCGGAGGGATAACAACTAACCCTATCAGACCTCACTCTCTTTTTTTCCACCACCGCTGGGGATCGAACCGAAATTCTTGGGAGAGCGAGTGGTCTGAAGCTCACGCTTGATAGCACACAGTAGTACAATGATTGTGCGCGTTAGCGATCACGGCACCCGAGGCACGGCTCTGTGTCCTGGTGTTGACGTCCAAATAGAATTATTCGTCTGGCATGTTGTCCAAGGCCAGAAATGTTTCTATACCACATATATCAAGTACTTCCGTCGCGAACGTGTCCCTTGTGGAGTATGTGACGTCACACTGAGTGACGTAATGATTAGTCAGGTCATTCCGTGTTTTCCCACATTTATTGAAGTTTTGTTGTTCAGTTTGCGTAATTATTTCGACACCAATCAAACACATTCTAAATCTGCTGTAGTATATAATAGGGTCTATAGTACATGCGGATATATTTGGGAATGTACGAATCTGAATCGGTCGAATTGGCGATCGTTGTTCATTCTTTCACGCCATTGTCTAGTTTATACGTTCCGATGGCGTGATTTATACATGATTTCATTCTTGTTTGGAGGGAAAGTCCTTTCCGGTAGTCATATGATGTGCGAGTATGTCCATTAAGTTGTACTTTTTTAGTGTTTCAAATGTAATCTTATGTAATCTTTTTGTTGCAGAGTATCCTTAAGATAAATAAACACACGTTTTAAAATACTTTCTTGGCAAGAGTTTCACATGGCATTAAATAAGTCTGTGTAGGAACTATAATTTTCGTCTATTTATTTCAACGGTGATACAAAATAGACCATTCTTCGCGATATCAGAGCGAGTGCAAGTTGGAAGGTCTGGGATTTTCTTTGCTGCAATTAAGATATTGTAGAAGACAGAGTTTATCGATATCATCTTCAATAAGATTCATCAGTTATGTGATATCAAAGATTTACTTTCTTGTGACCAGCCGGTCTCGAAACGTTGCGACATGTCTAATACGTATACTGTTTGTGTAGAAAGTAAAACGTTGTCGAATCACGCTCCTTGTTTCACATCCATAGAGGACAGACGGTGTATTACCTTTCTCTAAAGGTTGACATGCGTTAGAATATTTAGGTTCTTATTGTTTGATCCGACGCCAATAATAGAGAAGAATGAAGGTCGTCCCTATCTACAACTTTTGTGTGTAAGACCAGGACAGATCACTGGATATCGGTATTCTGGGGGGTCCGCGGGTTTCCTTAGTTTCCAGGTCTATCCAACTAAGTCTTCAGTGGAAAGTATTAACATCGGCATACATTATTGTACAAGATTTAGTAGTGCTGAAGGCAAATTTCCATTGAGTCGAATAATTTTACAGATATCAAGGAGGTTTTCAAGAGCATGGTGTGACAAGGCTAACAGTGTGATGTCATCGGCGAGTGTATGGTATGCATTATGCCAGTATAGCGGTGCGCCAAAGTTTGATTCGAAGGGGCGTTCAGGAGGTCGTCAACGAACATTCGTCCCTGTCTCAATCCGCGTCGCATATCGACCCAACGAGAACGGGCCCCATTACATAGAGCTTGTAAGACATGTGTACGTATTTTGAATAATGGTAAGTATATACTCCCATACGTTTTTGTATTACAGGAGCTTGTTACCCTGTATCGGCCGTCAAGATCACTGCGGTCGGAGTCAGAATATCATTGTTGTGTGTCCCAAAATCTCGTACTATGACCTACGGAAACAGATGCTTTGGGAGAGTTTCGGCTACGTTGTGGAATAGCTTACCATCTGCTATTAGGAAGTCAAATACCCTGGCCAAGTTCAAGAGGGAGATCAAAACTCACCTCTTCACGTCTGCATTTTAGAATCTTTGTAAAGACGTCATGTAAATGTGCACATTGCTTGTTAAATGTATGAAAGTGATTGCAAGCCTTTGTTGTTTGTTTTCACAATTATAACCATAA